AATGTAGTAGGTATAAACATTTTCTTTTCATCTATATTGATTATTTTTATTTATTTTATTTGAGCCAGAGTTTTACTATGTAGCCCTGGCTGACCTAGAACGCCCTATATAGGCCAGACTGGCCTCAATGTATTAGTCATTCTTCTATTGCTATAGCAAAATACTCAAGGCTGGGTAATGTGCAAAGAGTTTTCTTCAGCTCACTGATTTGGAGGTCCAAGAGCATGGCCCAAGCTTCTGCTCTGCTCTGCTGATGGCTTCATGGTGTTGACAGTGTATTTGAAAGAATGGAAAGATGGGAAGCCAGATAGAGCTCAGGGGTATGGCTCACTCTTTTACAATGGTCTATTCTACTCTTGTGGGAACTAATGCATCCTGAAAATAGCATTGTCTCTTCTGAAAGCAGTGTCCCCAGTGATTTGACCACCTCCATAAGACCCACCTCTTAGACATTCTAGCTGAGATGACTCAGCTGTTAAAGACACTTGCTGTCAAGCCTGACGAACTGTGTTGAATCCTTGGGACCCACATAGTAGGAGAGATCTAACCCTGGAAAGTTGTACTTTGACTTCATGCATACTTTGTGGCCCTTGAGTGTTGTACACACACACAGTAGATAAACTTTAAAAAGTTCTACCATCTCTTAGGTTACCCTTTTCTCCTCTGTTCCCACACTGGGGACCAAACTCCCGGTACATGAAACATAGCAATCGATAATTTCCCTAATAGGCCTATCTAGGGATTGGACTGAGTTCTGAAAAGATTTGGAAAGTGCAGGCCAGGCATTGAGTTCCAGGCCAGTTGGAGCCATAGGGAGACCCTGTCTCAAAAAGACCAAGGGGGTTTGGGGCACAAAACAAAAAAATCCAAAAAGATTTGGAAAGTGTTCCTGTGTAATTTACCAGATAACTAAAGTGCTTTAGAAAAATATTTTTCTTTTTTTTTTTAAAAAAATAGTTCTAGCCAGGTGTGATGGTGCATCCCTTTAATCCCAGCACTCGGGAGGCAGAGGCAGGCAGATCTTTGTGAGTTCGAGGCCAGCCTGGTCTACATAGTGAGTTCCAGGCCAGTTGGGCCTACCAGGAGACCTTGTCTCAAAAAGACCAAAAAAAAAGAAAAAAAATACTTTCATACAGTGTATGAAATTAGTACAAGGTATTTTGACCCTGGTCACCCCCTCTCTCCAGCCCTTCCCAGAAACATCTGTTCTTTTCATACCCATCCAACTTTGTACCCTCCCCCCCGCCCACTTTTTTAATCCATCACATCTAGTTATGTATGTGTGGAGGTCAAAGGACAACCTTTGAGAGTTGTTTCTCCTTCCACCATGTGATACTCCAGGATTGATTGAGGTTGTCAGGGTTGGCAGTGGTCACCTTTACCCACTGAGCCGTCTTCTTTGTCTCTGCAGTTGTATTTTTGCACAACAGTTGGTCATGGATAACTGAGGAGGTGATGCTGAATTCTTTTACGTATGCCCACAACCATTACAGAAATGGACTCTGTATGCCACTTGGAAGGTGCTTTTGCAAAGTCTCTTGGTAGTGAATAATTTGTAAGGAATGGAAACATGTAAATTTTTCTTTACTAATTTGTTGACTTTAAACTACCTGAAAAGAGAAGAAAAAGCTTCCGCCAAATATAATAATAATATTAGCAGTTGCTACACCGCTGCCCAGAGTTTCACATTCATCTCCCTTTACTCCCCTGATTATTCCATTTTACAGAGAATTAACCCTGTTTGAATCTAGCCCACGTGCTGTGTACCAGACAATGCTGTAAGGACAGCCTCAGTGTTAGTCTTCCTCTAAGACCTGTGTTGAGATCCAGTGGGAAAGGGACTTTTTTCTTTTTTTTTTTTTGTTTTTTTTGGTTTGGTTTTTTTTTTTAGTTCTGTGGTCCGGAACTCACAGAGATCCACCTGTTTCTGCCTAATCCTAATGCTAGGATTAAAGCCTTGCGCCACAACGCCCCAAGGGACTTTGTTTTTTCTTGAGACAGAATCTCTCTCTAGCCTAAGTTGACCTCAAACTCATGGTCTTCCTCCCTCAGCCTCTTGAGTGCTAGAATTACAGGTATGCTCCGCTACACC